GAATGTGCCTCACACACACTTTGCTTTTTCACCGGCTGTGCTGGGTGATGATGGTTCCTGTTCCCATCAGCCATGTGCTGCAGTGAATCCCCTGCCCAGCAGCGATTTCTCTTTGCAAGGCTGTAGGCGTTTTAGCAGACCTTCACTGTGAGGGTGGTGAGGCACTGGAGGAGGTTGCTCAGGGAAGTTGTGGATGCCCCATCCCTGGAAGTGTTCAAGGCCCGGCTGGACAGGGCTCTGAGCAGCCTGGTCTAGCGGGAGGTGTCCCTGCCCACGGCCGAGGGGTTGGAATGAAATGATCTTTAAGGTCCCTTCCAACCCGAACCATTTCATGATTCTATGACTTTTTGCTGAGGCACCACGAGGAATTAATCTTAGCACGCAGGAGGATATGGATGTGTGCGTTTCCTTTTGCTTTCCACTATTCTTAGATGTCTTTCTTCTGTATTACGTTGATAAAATCTTGAACACAGAAATGGCGTACCAATAAGCAGATGTGGCACTAGAAACTGTTACTCAAAAAGCAATGTTGTAGTTTAGGCAAACATGTTAAAATCCTTCTTTCCAAGGCAAAGTAACATCATTCTTTCTTGTCACACCATGCCATACAAATTTTAAAGCTCTTCAGTATTTTTCTGTCCCAAAATAAGGAGAAATTTCACAGGCAGAAATACGACGTCTCTGAGTGGGATTGATGTCTAATGCAAAAGGAAAGTAGTAAGCTATGTAATCAGCATCCTGAGCTGCTTGGCCCCAGTGTGAAGCGTTGAGAGTGGGAGAAGTGAATTGCTCCTAAACATCAAGTTTTCTTTTGCAGGGCTAGAGCCCCAGTCACCAAAACCACCCGTGGGGAAGACATCAGCCGCTCCGCTGAGCTCCCGTGCCCAGCTGAAAGGGAATGAAGATGAACTTGATCCAACCTGTGCAGCTGCCACACTGAAACTTATTAGAGACAAACTACCACAGTTACCACCTCCACATGCCAGGTTATCTTTGTTTTATTTCTTGTAGAAACTGCTTTCTCTCAGTTGTATTTATTAGTCCTGAAAGCATACAGAAAAGCACTTATGATCTAGGCAAACTGCTGAGGCGATCTTGGTTTCATTTTGAAGTTACAATTCTTTTACTGAGATGTAAGTTTGCTGCTTAATACTGGATTTAAAATTGGGATTTTGTTAAAGGAACCTTTTACTCTTTTACTATTCCCTTGGTTTAGTTTTTATTTTCTTTATTTATTTTAGTTTATTTGTAAATGGATTCTATGAAAATGTAAAGTGTTTGCTTCTAACAAAAAAAAAATCTACATTTTGAGTAATTTTTTGTTTGCAACTAAACAGAACATATCCTAATACTAAGTTAGAAAATAGTTTCAACCCTCTCTTTGTTCTTAGTGGCTTATCCTGTCAGTGCTGCCTGGAGAGGTGTCGTACTGATTCTAAAGATGTATTTGTTGTCAATTCTGTTCAAATCTTCGTGAAACTCCAACTTGGGAAACTGGAATGTAACGACAGAAAGAGAAAGGAGCATTCAGATGTACATTTTTATTCTTTAATCTTTAAAAAGTTAAGGTTTCAGTAAGGTGACTAAGACCATTTGTGAATAACCAAGGTCTCCACAGTAGGTGCTGTGGGTTTTGAAGACTGATTAATTCTGTAGCGGTGTTGCACAGTCAGTGTTGTAGACGCAAGATGGAATTTTGTCAGCAAAAATAAAGGCTCTGTGATCTCTGTGACTACCGTGCAAACATGGGCATGAGTTTGCAGAAGCAAGGTCTTTCTAAAAATGGTTTGCCACATCAGTAGCTCTTGTTACAGTGCATGTATGATCCACTACTGCCCCCGTTAGATCTCTAGGCATCTGCACCCCTGGTATATATGCTTTATCTAGCTTTAGCTGAATGTGCAGTTTAAGCTTCATGGTGCTGTAGTTGGAGTGAGTGGTGTTATGGTCTGTACCTTTTTTTTTTTAAAAAAAAAAGAAAAGGACAATCCTGTAAAGGTAGTTCTAGTCCTAGATCTAAGACAGTATTAGTGTTGGTGTGAAAATCTTATGAAAAAAGGAGAAAAAGTTGTGGTCATTGCTATTCTGTTGTATTGACTTTTCATCAATTTTCTCCAGTGACTCTGCAACTACTGAGCCAACAGCCTTGGAAGAGCCTGACAGTAAGAGAAAAAAACTAGAAGAAGAAAGAGCTAAAGCTCCCCTCATGCCTTTTGGATTAGATCTTCACTACTGGGGACAGGATCAGCCAAGCGCTGGGAAGATTCTCAAGTAATGCTTTTTTTTCTTTTAAGACAAATAAAACAAATATATAGATTTACTTGTACTCAGAGGTCATGCAGCAGGGTGAGTGCTATTTCTTTTGATAATTACTTGTCTTCTTTCCCGTGTGTTGTAGGGCCCACAAACAAAGTCAGAAACTCTACCTTTAAAAGCTGTTTGTTTTGAGAAGACGTGATACTAATTAAATATCCTTTGATGCTTCAAAGCACATTTTTTTTCCACCTTTTTCATGTTTATGTATTATTTGCAGCACGGCATCACTTACTGCAATTTAAATTGGTACCTCATTATGCAAAGTGCTACGCAAGTGCGTGATAGACGTTCCCTCTGCTTGAGCCTGTGCAGTCTAAATAAATAGCAGGTGAGGCAGGAGAAAGGCTAAGGAGATGTCGGAGGTATTTTTTCTGACTTTACAGAGTGTTAACTGAGGAAATTGATGTGCTTGTTCAGTCACACAAGAAATAAGTGGGCAGGTACAGGATTTGAATTTGGATCTCTCGCTTTCCATTCTGGTCTGGGAAGGTTTTGTGTTTCTTGGACACACAGCGTTGCTGACTTTGGGAAAGCTTTAGCAATGCCAGGGAGAAGATGTGGTAGGTATACCTCAGAATTTGTTTCTAGCAGTCAGTTTTTAGACCTCCTTTTTAGCACTAGTATTTTTATATGAAAATTGGGATGCCAAGTCCTCCCTCTATAAATTTCATTTAAGTCCACCAGAACTTTAGTCTCAGTGTGTATCATACCTGGCTTGAAAAAGGCAAAAATCATTGACTGGCTGGGTTGCAAATCAGACTCTCAGTAGTAATTTAGTTTGTTTTCTTACTAAACCAAACAAACAGAAAAAAAACCCCACAAACTCATAGCCACGGTGTGAAGACACTGTTTGCCAAAAAGAGCAAGAGGAGAGCTTTGCCCCTGTACCTGATGGCATGAAATGCTGAATATATTTTAAATTATTGATAGCCAGTGAAATTTGATACATAATAGTGCTTTAACAGTCACTCCAAGCTTTGGGTTCTGTCTCACGTGGTGTAAGCGCTTTGAAGCCTATAAAATGGTTAAGATTTTCAGCAGGGCTTTAAGAAGCATTTGTCTGTGATAATGCCAAAAAAGTAGTAGGGTTTTATTTTACATTGCAAATGAGTTATTCAGGTCATAAGTGAAATCGGAAGCATATTTCACTGCCTGTCTGCCTTGTGCTGTGCTGTTTTATTTTTATGCTTTCTAATAAAATAGAGGGCACACTTCTGAACCTTATAGTCTATAACTATAGATATGCCAATCTAACTAAAGATAATTTAAGTAACTCTGCACACACAATACCGTTGACCCCTGGGTATAAAATATATTTATTGAAAAATTAAGGTAGTTGTTGGCCAACTCCTTTAACTTTTCTGTGTGCACATACTGTCTCTCTAAGATGCCTAGGGGTTAAAAAAAAAAAAAGCAAATGCAAAATCTAGAGAACGCATATGTAATTTGAATTTTGAAAATCGGGAAAAGTTGTTTCTCTTCATCTGTTTAACACCACACTTAATTACAGCATTTACAGTAACTTAAGATTTTAATAGTAAGAATGTAGCTACCAGGAAGATGATTTTCTGAAGAAGATTTGTTTAGCTGGTAAACGGTGAACCATCGCCTTCTCTAGAAGGTGACAGTGGGCTCCACGAAAACGTGGGGCTGAGCCATTTTCCCTACTGCTGCCCTCACTCACACAACTCATTAAGCCAGTTTAAGAACTCTTAAAAATATGTTTATAAAGCTGTAGTAGTACTTTTTTTCGGATGGGGAGGAGCGTATATTGCACAGTGTTGTACTGTGTAGAGACTGCTGTGCCAGCTTAATAGTTTTGGATAGCATGAGCCTTCCAAACTCATCTACCCTTCTTCTTGAATTAATTTAGCTTACTCTTAGGATCAGAGTAAATTAGCTGGTGCAGCACTTTTTATGACTGTGACTAGGAGGTTTGAAATAGCTCATTTAGCACTTGCTCCAGGATCTCGGTGTCCATCATACTGGCTTTAGAATCTATATTTATTTAAATTTTTTATAAGCTTTGTATCATTTTAGGAATTAAGTTGATATAAATTTGTTGAAAGCATGGAACATTTTTCCAGGAGCTGGACTTTCTTTCAGATATTGGTTAGCCATTACTTTTGTTTTGTTTCCATTAAAGCCTCTGTTACTTCTCTAGATCAGTAATACACTTTCTTTGAGTGTGAGATGTTGATCTTTCAGTTGATTATCTGGTCCTTTTCTGATCCCTCTTGCAAAAAGGTTTTACTTGAAACAGGCATCATTTTTTCAGACAAAGATCTCATATTCTACTCTTTGAAATGCTGCTAAAATTACAACAGCAGGAAATCAGAAGGCATTGGGAATTAACACTACTTTGTTCTTTTCTCATCTGCCTGTAAGTCATGCTGGGAGAAAATTATATGCTTGTAGTAAACAGTATTATTTATGAATACCTGTGTAGGAATCAGGCTATTGTAAGCCCAGCTGCCAAATACTGATCAGTGGTATATAGAATAAAACATAATTGTAATTTCCTTGAGATTTGTTGGATGCAGATTTGGCTGGGGGAGACATCAAAAATATTAAATCGAACTTTTTCCTAATTGGAGAGGTTGGCAAGCAAAACTGTTTAATGTCTCGTCATTCTCCTGTAACTGAAATTAGATAATTTAGAGCGGGAGGGGACCTCAGACCACCAAAGGACACTCAGATTTTGTGAAGAGATTCTGTAAGGCTCCCTTGCACACAGAAGTCCTGTACGGTCTTTTTAGGAATGTCTTCCCCTCCTTGTGCCGGTAAGGTTCGTAACGCAGAGCTAGCAGTGAATCTTGGGTTTAGGATTGTATTAAAACTAAGCAAATAAATTTATTTCATTCCTTTATTTACTATCTGTTGTACAGTCTTGCACAAAAATTCTGAAACTAAAGTACAGTACCATTCAAACATTGTACTGAAGTCATACTGGTACATTATAAAGATTCTTAGAGGTTTTTTTGTTTAGGCTATGGTTTGCATAATTGTGTGATTAAAAACTTTTTTTCTTTAAACCAAAAATTGTGGAAACATATTACTATGTTTAATGTTGAATTAGCCTCAGTTATAATTCTTTTAGTTTTATACCTTAATTTACCAGAATAAAGTTATTTTGACTTTATGACAGATTAGAATTTTTCTGTCACTAGAGAGGTATATTCAATGAAGAAATTATTGGAAAGCCTGAATCTCTTTAGCAAATGTTGAACATTTTTCTGTTGATTCGGCAAATCATGGAATTGCTTCAAAATTGCTTAATCCCTTTTTAAATTCATTTCTAATCTCTTTACATAGTTTTGAATGATCAGCTGTTGCAGTAAACCCAGCAGATAGATTTGTTGTAGCCTGCTAAGGTCAGATAATTTCCTTCACTTCTGTTTTCCTTGTCGTCTGCTGAAAACTTGCTCAGATAAAGTTCATCACAACTTTCTTTAAGTGTTGGCTTATATGCTTTCTTTATTTTTTTTAAGCGTAAGTTTATGTACTTTGCTGGATTGAGTTCACTGTGATTAATGAAGCCGGTGCTCCCGTATATACAGCTCCGCAGTCTACAGAAGGCAAAGTCTCAGAAGCAGGGATGACATCCAGGGATATTAATGAGTGAGAGGAATTGGATGTGGACAGAGAAAATCCTCTCAAATCAGTCTGGGACTGATTGGATGGAAGAGCTCTGTGGAAGAAAGGGATTTCAAAGTGTCCTTTATGAATTTTAAGTCCTTATCAAGACATCTGTCATCTAGATATCTCTGTCTTGCTTGTAATAAGCCACAGACATGCAGGCTGGATTTTTTTTTTTTTTTGCTTAGTTTAGCTGTATTTTTTCACTTTAATTTCATTATTTCCTTGAATTTAGGGTGGGATTCTTCTTGTTTAACTTCAGATGTCTCAGAGTTAGATATCTGCACTTAAGCTGGTCACCCTAATTTCTATTTGTGATTAAGGAAAAGAAGCATTTACCGTCAGAGGGACAGTCATTGGATCCTAAGATTAGCACCTAAAATGAGTCAGGTAATGAATCTCTGGGGTTGCCTGTTTCTCATTATAGACTATCAGCAGCTCGGGGTGCTAAAATGGAATTGTTTGGGTACTGTTCAGAAAATCTGAAATAACTACATCAGTCAAGGGTCCTAGCTCCCATTCTCTCCCACTCCTCATATCCACTGACATCGTCATAATTTTATTTGTATTTTTGCCTATATCTGTCTGTAAATACAGGTGACACCTGCAAATTTAAAATAACTTTTCAGTGGATTAGCTTAACTTTCTCGAGGAGTACCCCATTAGTTTCTCAAGACTTATGGACACTGTATAGGAGAACCTGAATGAAAATGTCCGTATGGCTCAGCTGATGTTTGTTCTCTTCCTTGGTCTCGATATATCGCAACATACTCTGATTTCAGCTCCTGCTTCTCTGCTGCTACAGAAGTTAGAGCTACCTAGAATCAGATCAGACAAGATCAAACTGTTTCCTCCCTGATCTATCTTCTCTGTTTAATCATACAAGCATTTTGTTACAAAGAATGTTAAATATAGAATTACGAATTTATTCACGGAAACTGGATAGAGGATAACAGGACTCTGCGTGTCAGGTCATGGACTAAAGCTAAGACTTGTAATAGCTTAGCAGGTTAAACAAGAAATCAATACTAGAAAGACTTTGGTGTTTTAAAAACATAGTATAGGAGTCATAAGAAAGAATGGTAAGTTTTTCTAATTCACTAGTAACTCTTCCTTTCGTTTTACATGTAAGTTTGCCACAGGATGATACTGGCATCTTTATGTGCTTTCTTACAACTTTGTGAATACTTTTCCTTTGTAATTTTCCCAGATTTACTTCTGAGCATCGATTTTGGGCACCCAGTGAAGTAGAAGAAGAGGTGGAAAATAAAGAAATATCTGAAATGTTAAAAACTAGATATATAACATTTGCTGGCAAGTTTGAACCAGTGAAACATAAATGTCGAGCACCAATGCCTGATGGAAGTCTGTGTGAAAGACAAGATCGGTTTAAGGTGAGCACCAAGTTATTTAGTTTCTATGTGCTATATGGAGCAGATCTTGTTAAAACGTGCATAAAAGTTTATTTCACATTGTAAATATAGCTCAAGGGAGTGGAAGAAAATTGTGTCTGGAGAAGATTGCTATGCTTCGTATAGGAAATGTCCTTTTACTAAGGAAGCTGTAAACATTTAAGGAACTCTCAGATATTTTTGGCATTCATCATAGGTATTTGTATTTTATTTATTACTGTGATACATGAGTCCCTGGCGATACAGAAGAGACAGTTAGTTGTCGGAAAATTTCCGTCATTTAGAGACATATTTGATATTAACTCTTTTTAGAAACTTGTGTGTTTGAGGGGCGCAGAAATTTTATTTTACAGATTAGGTTTTATGAAAGCTAAATCCTACACAGCCTCAAATTATGAGCCGTGTTGAGCAGAAATACTTTCCTTAAATACTTTGTTCTAATATCCCTGTTCTTCCTGTGATATCTGAGATTGAAGGATCTGAATAAACTAAAATATGGGGACAGGGATGAAGCGTAAACAGCAATGTACATCACAGCGTGAGCACCCTTGTTCCAGACTTGACAGGGTGTATTACCTGGTCTCTTGAAACTGGATATACATATTACAAAGAGCTCGTGGGAGCTGAGGGGGACTGGGAATCAAGTGTAGAGTTTTGTTGCCTGATTCCAGCGTCTGGCTTTAAGCTATGTTGTATAACATGTAAATGTTTTCTTTTTGTTCAGAAGCTTTGAGATCTTTTTTTCCCCTTTCTTTCTGAAGTGCCCTTTCCATGGAAAAATAATTCCTCGGGATGAGTCTGGGATTCCCATTAATGCGGAGGACAGAGCCAGAGAAGAAAAGATGCGGTTTGAGAAGCAAGCAGCTCAGCCAGGTTTGTGTTTGCAAAGCATGTTAAAAGAAATGTATTAGGCAGAGGTGGGAGATAGGCTTTAAATGCAAGTGTAAACCCTTTATTGTGTATGTTTTTGTGTAGTGTACAACATTTACAATATCTGCAACGTATTTAGATTCTATACAATGTTTGTAAATACTGTATTTATCTTTCATATATTGCACCTACAATATATTGTAAATACATTGTATCTGTATGTTATATGTATTGTATTTATATATAAATACCATGTAATTATGAAGTGGACAGCAATCTCAGATACTGTTGGACAACAAATGTGACAGAAGGAAAGGAACTGATTCTTCTGTTGATAAAGGCACAGGTTGAGATCCACAGCGCTGGATCTCATTTCTGTTTTGCTCTTAACCATGTTCTCTCATTTAAATTCAAGTTGATTTTAATTTGCAGATTGTTTGCAGTCATTCTTGCTCATGTGGTAACTGCGGATGCATGTGTGCACTGAATAAGGTTAACGTTATGTTTGTTCTTTGTTTCCAGTAGTTATCATAACGTTCCCAACACTTCTCAGACAGATGAGTTATAGCCTTTATCTTAAGGAATTTGTTTGTTAAGGACGATTAAACTTATTTCCTGGGAAATGCCTGACAGTAACTGATCCCAGGCTTCTGAAAAGTAATTGACTAATCTTGCTAGTCTCTAACAGTTTTGATTTAAGTAATGTAATGATAATATCACTGTGTTACCACAAATATTGGCAAACTGGGATTTTTTGTCACAATATGGAAATATATTTTTCCTGTGTCTGTTCATATCTGTCATATTCTATATTTTCTGTATCTACTCACTGCTTGTGTTTTAGAAGTAGCGTTCTTGGCCTTGTTATGCAGCGCATCTGTGCAGCATTGCTAGAAGATACTCTGAACTAGGGAAGCCCTCACCTGGGGCTTTACTTTATCGGCGTTATAACTAGTCTGGGTGTTGTAATAGGCATGATATTTGGGATGGGCTTGAGGAAGGGAGCCAGCAGACAGATCTGTGCTATTGTTTACATGTAACTCTGCAATACTCTGGATTTTGTTTTTAACAATGGGAATGGGCAACAAAACTCATGGCTTATCCTTCTCCAAGATTATTTGTACATTTTTAGCCAGGATAAAGCTGTGGACTGCTAGGTAAGGAATGCAGGCGATGAGAAGGACAGCAAGCAATGAAGGCAGGAAGCAGGAAGCACAGGCAGGAAGACTTCCCAGAGGAGTAAGAGACGTTTTGACATTAGTACAGCTAAACCTCATTGGTGATGGATAGAAGGTGGATTTTGATAGAGCACTGAGGGGACTGCAGCCAGAAAGCTACTGGAAGTGGAGGGACTGCAAAGGAAGATGGGAGAGCGGGATCTGTCCAGCAAAGACACAGTTTATAATTGAAGTGGACAGATTTGTTTTCAAAGCTTTTATTTAGTCTGCCTTCCTCCAGCAGGTCTTAGTTTTCTCTGTTTTGAGCTATTTATTTTAGGTGAGCATTCTGCATTCTAATTAAACTTTCTCATAGGTGTTATCATTTTGATATCTTGTAGTATACTCCCTCTGAGGAGTTAGTTCTCTCTTTCGGCTCTGACTCACTCAGTATTTCACCAGTGTCACAGTCATATATACTGTTAATGAGGCTACTAAACTTTCCACAAAGCCCTTCAGAGCGTAACAAACATCTGCTGGTCTGTTATCCAGAAAGGTCTGTGTCAAATGAATGTGCATTTACAGCTGACCCACCCAGTTTCCTTTAATACTGGTTTGGCCATTACCAGCACCACAGCGGTGCGGCGCTCACTGAACACCTTCTGGTGGCTCCGTGTGTTGAGAAGTGCTACCTTTGCCAGCAGTTCCCGCTCTTGTCCAGGAAGAATGAAGCGCTCTGAGCTGGCATCCAGCCCACGGCACGGGCACAGTTGGACCGTCACAGCGAAACCAGGGCAGAGGAGTGGATGTTGTGCTAAAAAGGAAAGTTCCCAACTTAGTTATGATGGACTAAAACTAGCAAATTAAACTGGTAGATGTTGTTGAGGTTTCAAACTAGAAACTAATACTCTGGTATAAAAATCACTTGCACTGAAAAATATTGATTTATTTTTTTTTTCCCCTGTGAAATTGCCACTGCTTCAGGCTAGACGTAATATTTATTTTTATTACAGTGTCAGCTCCATGTTGTTAGAGGCCTCTCACCTCTGGCCTATGGATGTGTACGTTAGTCCCAAACCAGTGTTGACACGGCTGTGTTGGTTATCGAGTGCCGTTGTTAAGCAGAAATGTCATACAGAGGTCCAGCCCCTCTGTCTGGGGAGATACTGAACAAGCTCTGGCACTTAATTTATTGGACAAAACCTTATAAGTTTTTAAAGCCATACATATACCAGATATCACTAAATACTTTTATCTGCTGCTTTTTGTTGCTTTCTTTTCTTTCCGTGCATCACTATATTTTTTATGATGTTTTCATCAGTTTTTAGGAACGGTCCTTTGTGTGTATGCTTGGGGCTTGGGGGTTTTCATTGGTTTTTTTGGGGGGGGTTTGGGGTTTGGTTGTTATTTTTTTTTAAACAAAGCAAGCCTGCGCAGTGCTGCTTTGGAAAATATAGAAGTGGGAACCCAATGTACAGGAAGTGCTTTGGTTTTATGATTGGCAACACGATTTGCTAATCATGAGAGTTTGAAAAATATAGAAAAAAAACTTTTAAATTTGAGGATGAGTCATGTAATTAAATTGCACCAAAGTCCTTCCTTCATCTTTTTCTTTTTGGGTGGTAGGTTTATTTTCATCCTCACGTGATCGAAGGGGAAAACAATTACGTAAAAGTAATACAGTTTGTGTAAAAATGACTATGTTTTGACAATGCTGTCATTGTTAATATGGAACATTTTTTGACTTGGTATAAAATTTTAAACTCTAGCTAATGTCCTCGAAACGGTGCTTGGGGCTTTTCAGTCCTGAAACAATGCATCAGGTGGGATTACGCTGACCTGCTAATCTGCAGTGTTCATCCTTTTCCAATAGTTCACACACAGGAGCAAATTAAGTGCCTATTTTTTGTGTCAACCCTGAAGAGTATCTGGTTTTTCAGCCCTTAGTGACTTGTTAACAAACAGGTATCAGGACAGGCTGGTGAAGGCAGGCCGCTGGCCAGTCAGATGTGAAATAGCATCTCTTTACTAACTACAGTATTGATTCCCGCCTACCCCTGCAAACTGTGTAATTTTCTTTTCCCTGCTGCTAAACTCAGTAACAATGTATGAAGAGCTTTAGGGGCCCATCAATGCTCAAAAAGGCTGCTCTTCCCTGGCATTCTATTGATTTTTCTCAAAGGCTTTTAAATTGCTCCTTCATTTTACTCAAATGCTCATTTCATCTCTACTGGATGCCGGCATTTTTTCGTTGTATTTAAACAATTGCTCCATTCACTGGGTTCCTAAACTGTGACGCCTTCTTATTACTGGGAGATAAACTGTTTAGACAGTTTTCCTTAATCTTGGATTAATCGTTCCTGTATCTGAATTGTGCTGTTCTGTATTCCTTCACTTCAGAAAAAAAAAATAAAGTCTGTGAGGTTTTATGATCTATCAAATATATGTGGTCTATTTTCTCCCTCTATACCTTTCCTGCCCAGGTCTTGCACAGCTTCATTTTCCTCATGCTTTCTGGTGTGTTGGATTGTAATCAGTCCTTGCCTTCACGTACCGTAAGAGGTTAGATCTAACCTTTCCTTGCAAAATTGCTCTGGTGTTCCTAAACACTGTGCTCTTAAGTGAGGACATTGCCTCTGACCTTCCTGAAATGTTGTTAGCGATATTTGTCGCACTCGGTGGCTGTCTTGGTGTATAAGTGAAATTATGTCGTTGTTTAAGACTGTTTATTTTTCTATGTCTACACAGATGTTAAATAAAGGTACTAAACATTTGATATGACAGTTTCTGCAGGCAAGAAAGGCTGACTGAGATATGGGAAACTATATAACAAATGACCAGCAGTTACTGGTTCTGAAAATACAAAATTCTGATACTTATGCTGAGTTTGGATGATGTGGTGCTTGCTACACATTTTTTTCCCAGCCTGTATGCTCAAAGTCTTTACAACACAATACTGTTTTTCTAAATTTCCCCTTGAAGGTATCCATCCTCTGCCCACACTTTTCCTTTCTACTTTGTACCATGTTACCTTGTTCTGATATGCTGGACTCCGCACTGAAGGCGAAAGATCACTCAGGCTTCTTCAAAGAATTTACAGTCTGAATTGTTCTTGTTTTTTTCCAGTGGTGGCATGGATGATCACAATCCATTTACAGTGTATGGTTGGATTCTGAAGCATTAACATTTTGATAAAACTGCAAAACAAGGTTTTGATGAGATAAATTAACTCCTGTACTGTTGTTAAGAGAATAAACTTGATTTAGTTAATTAAACTTAGGAAGTGTGGGATACTTAGAACTTAATATATTTTCCAGATGCAGTATTGGGCTCATGGCAAGAGGATCATGTTGTCTTATTCAAGCATGCCATGTAGGTGTTAGATGTCAGTTTGTGTTTTGAAGCAAGTATGATTCTTTGATGTGGAAAAGTTAGAATGTTGTCACCCCCGCTCTGCTCAAAAGTTAACATACTCAAATTTTGTAGGTTTATTTTTAAACTTATGCAGAATTTATTTCTGGAGATAAGTTCCTCAGCTACACTGTTGGCATTTTGTTCAATTTATAAATAATAATCACTGTGTTTATGTCGCCTCTCCTGCATGGACTGGTTTCCTTGGAGTTTTGCTACTGGGCTACTGCGAATACTTAAGTCTTCCTACAGAACTGCTTTGTCTACAGCAGCTAATAATAGATACTAATCACAGACTGGCAAGGCTTTTCCATCAAGATCTGTAGTTTTGTTTTATCCTCCCTTCCTTTGTGCATGCAATGTACAGCACAGTGACTTTGCCCTTGCCTAGCAGGGACAAGAACCTGTGCCTTAGGAGACTGCAAATTCTGCCTGGGTTTGCAGTTTCAACGTGCGTGCTTTTTCTTTTAAACAGAGTGGCGAGATCCAGAATTCATGAGAGAAGTTGAAGCAGCTACAGGAGTGGATCTTGGTTCCTCTAAAAATAATGGAAAAGGAGGGAAAAAGAAAGGGAAGAAGAAAAAATATCCAAATCTGACAGACCTGAAGCAGCAGGCTAACACTTCTCGTTCCCGACTTGAGAAGAAAGTCTTCAATAAGTAAGATGCTTATGTTCTCTAAAGCCTGTTAAACTGCTGTTTCCCTTTCTTTCAAGGTACTTTCTGTTTCTACATTAATATGCACTTGGAAAACAACTTTCTTCACTAACTGCAGAGCAAAAACACCTTTCTTGCCTAACTGCAGAGCAGGAATTCCTCCTGTATCACTGGAGGGTAAATAGCAAGTACTGATGATGAAGGTTATTTCTTGGAGAGTAATTTTCAGCTAATTTACAAGATTTCCCTTATGAAAGACTTTTCATCCTTCTCTTTTTTTTTTTTATCCTTTAAATGCTGTAGTGGCTTCTCTGTATGATCGAATGATCATTTATTAAACCGGTGGATGCTACCTTATATGCTCAAATAGCACTGGATCTGGAAAAAGATGATATGTTCAGAGTGACACAACTTAGGGCATCAGACACACACTGTAGCAGTGTAGGTGGAGTGAAAATGAAGTTTTTCTTTTTGAAAACCTAAGATGGGCTATCCTGAGCAAAACTTCAGTTAATAAAAGGATCTGTCAAAAAACACAGGATCATAGAATAGTTTGGGCTGGAACCCTGTTCCAACCTCCCTGCCCTGAACAGGGACACCTCCCACTAGACCAGGTTGCTCAAAGCCCCATCCAGCCTGGCCTTGAACACTTCCAGGGAGGGGACATCCACAACTTCCCTGGGTAACCTGTTCCAATGCCTCACCACCCACACTGAAGAATTTCTTCCTAATATCTAATCTAAATCTCCCCTCTTTCAGTTTGAAACTGTTACCCCTTGACTTGTCCCTCATAAGGAGTCACTCCCCATCTTTCCTATAGCTCCATTTAAGTACTGGAAGGCTGCTGTAACAGAGCCTTCTCTTCTCCAGGCTGATCAGCCCCAGCTCTCTCAGCTTGAACTCACAGGAGAGGTGCTCCAGCCCCCTGATCATCTTTGTGGCCTCCTGTGGACCCGCTCAAGCAGGTCCATGTCTTTCTTATACTGGCGCCCCTGAAGCTGGACACATTCCTGCAGGTGGGGTCTCCTGAGAGCAGGTAGAGGGGGTAAAAACCCTCCCTCGACCTGCTGGCCACGCTTCTTCTGATGCAGCCCAGGATGGCTCGTACTCACTTTTTTATCCACCAACACCCCAAAGTCCTTCTCCTCAGGGATACTCTCAATCAACTCGTTGCCCAGCCTGTATTTGTTTTTGGAATTGCCCCACCACATGTGCAGGACCTTGTACTTGGCCATGTTGAACTTCATGAGGTTGGCATGGGCCCAGCTCTCAGGCCTGTCAAGATCCCTCTGGATGGCATCCCTTCCCTCCAGCGTGTCGAGCACACCACATCCTTGGTTTTTTAGCATGTAGCAGTGTTTTTTAATGGTTGCCCTTGAGCCTTTGGTGTATGCTCAGAGACCTTCCTAAACATTTGATTGTTGCCTGCACTTCCTCTGTATGTTCTCTCACTCTTGGCTGTACTAAACTGCCGGCTGGGCCTGGCGCAGTCCCTTGCAACCCAGTATGTACGCACAGTGATCCCTTCCTGTGTATTCTTCAGTGGCACACTGCCATTGCATTTTTTGAATCATAAAATAGAATCATTAAGGTTGAAAAAGACCTCTAAGATAGTCTAGACCAACCGTCTACCCAACACTACCATGACCATTAAACCATGTCCTGAAGGGCCACATCTGCACATTTTTTAAATGCTTCCAGGGATGGTGATTTCACCACTTTCCTGGGCAGCCTGTTCCAATGCCTCACCACTCTTTCAGTAAAGAAATTCTTCCTAATATCCAATCTAAACCTCCCCTGCTGCAACTTGAGGCCATTTCCTCTTGTCCTATCATTAGTAACTTGGGAGAAGAGACCAACACCCACCTCACTACAGCCTCAGGTAGTTGTAGAGATCAATGGAGTTTCCTCTCAGCCTCCTCTTCTCCAGACTAAACAATCTCAGCTCCCTCAGCGGCTCTTCGTAAGACATGTTCTCCAGACCCTTCACCAACCTCTTTGTCCTTCTCTAGACACGCTCCAGCACCTCAGTGTCTTTAATATACTGCGGTTCCCAAAACTGAGCACAGTACTCCAACTGTGACCTCAGAGTGCCGAGTACAGGGGTGAGATCACTTCCCTACCTATTCCTGATATAGGCCAGGATACCGTTGGCCTTGGCCACCTGGGCACAGTGCTGGATGTTCAGCCAGCTGTCCACCAGCACCCCCAGATCCTTTCCAGCCACTCCTCCCCAAGCCTCCCCACTGCCTGGGACTGTTGTGACCCAAGTGCAGGACCCAGCACTTGGCCTTGTTAAACTTCATGATTGGCCTTGGCCCATTAATCCAGTCTGTCCAGATCCCTCTGCAGAGCCTCCCTGCCCTCCGGCAGATCAGCACTTGTGCTCAATTTGGTGTCATATGCAAATTTACTGCGGGTGCACTCAATTCCCTCATCCAGATCATTGATAAAGATATTAAACAAGACTGGCCCCAAAACTGAGCCCTGGGGAACACCACTTGTGACCTGCCACCAACTGGACTGAACTTTGTTCACCACCACTCTCTGGGCTTGGCCATCCAGCCAGTTTTTAACTCAGCAAAGAGTACACCTGTCTGAGCCATGAGCCTCCAGCTCCTTTAGCAGAATGCTGTGGGAGACGGTGTCAAAGGCTTTGCTGAAGTCGAGGTGGACAACGTCCACAGCCTCACAGCCTTCCCTTCTTCCACTAGGCGGGTTACGTGGTCATACAACGAGATCGGGTTGGTCAAACAGGACCTGAATTGCATGAACCCATGCTGGCTGAGCCTGATCCCCTGATCTACTCCTTTCCTAAGAAGGCATTCAATTGATTAAGAAAAATATTTGGTTCCTTGTGCTATGGTCCTTGTCCAGTTAACCCTTGCTGTCTTTTGTAAATATCAAGGACTGGAACTTGCTGCAGGTCTCTCTTCAGTGTAAGAATTGAAGATGATTATTCCCTGTACCAGAGACACATGGACACAGTATTCTTCCCGTGCTGGTGCTGTTTCTGTAAATCTCCCTTTCCTCCCAGTTAACTCACAGACATATGTAAGTTAACTTCAAGGCAGGCACGCTAGCTGAGTTGGAAGTGGGAGTCACCGTCTGGGGTTTAGGATGTGTAGTAGCTCCATATGTCCACTCAGAGGCCGTTTCTGATAACTAGTCTTGGTTAGGTGTAGCTGAAGCATAAATTTGCTGAAGCATGCTTTGGTCTTTGTCAGATGGGAAGCAGCTGCAGCTATTTAAGGAGTTTCACATGTCAAAAAGAAGCAGTCGAAGAAAAGTGCAGTGTGTCAAGTTGTCAAATCAAAAAAGCAAAGTTCTTATTATAAAATCATTAATGGTGGCTTATTCCCTGAACATACTGGACTAGTTGAACAGCATCCAAGACACAGTATTTGTTTAAACTCTGTTTTCCCTTTTCTGATAGAAGAGCCAAATCCACATTGCTTTTATTTACAGAAATAGACATTTTCTGTTAAATTCGCATGTCACCAGATCTTAGTTAGAAGTCAGAGACATGCAGTTCTGGTGATCAGAATTTCATATCAACTTTAACAAAATAAATCTGAAAACCTGGTTTTGGTTTACTGTGGTTTGTGCTAATGATTTTGAGTGCGTGTTAGTGCTCGGCATAGGGAATCAAACCTGTCATGTTTTTAATAGGGTTCATGTTTTGCAGCACTAAACAAGATGATAACCTTGGCTCCTTGTAACAACCTCAAATGACTTCAAATGTGTAGGTGATAAACCTAGGCTCTAGTCTGCCAATAAAGTTAAGTGAAATTGCACACGGATCGTCCAAGTGGGATCTCATTTCATTTACAGTATCACACAATCCAGTGGTGCTAATGTAAAACCTACATGACATGAGAGTGTCAAGGCTATTCTGCACTGCTAAAGGCTCACTTTTCTCCTACCAATTAGGCAATATTTGAAGTGCAAAACCATGACCACATTTTCCTTACTCTGGTAACTTTACTGGCAGAATTTTGCTAAAAGTACACCTCTTCCAGGGTGTTTTTTCTTCAGAATGTTGCTTTTCGTTACAGTTGCTGCTGAGAAAATCTTTAATCCCACCTTTAGTAGTGTTATTGGGAAGTATCCTCTGCTTTCAGATGTTTCAAAATGGCTTTTGAAATGAAGCCATTACAGAGAGCAGTTAGTTAAAACAAAGTCAGCTTGCCTCTGAGAGGGAGCCTCAGGAGCAGAGCTGGAAGAGAGTGTAGGGCCTGATCCTGAAGAAGGGTGGTGCGCACTACCAGGTGGATGTCTTCATTTTAATGCTCAGAAGTGATAAAGGCAGACTGTGACAATGTAGAGTCTAAGAGTATGAGACTTGAAAATATCCACTTTGCGTGATGGAACTTGCCAACTGTGTTTCTCGTGGAGAAATCAAAGGAGACATCGATCAGTGCCATGTTCTTAAGTGGGACATAGTCCCTCAAACCAAGCCCTTACCTGAGATACCTCCCACCCTGTCGGAGCATCCAGGTCTTTATGGCGAGGTGTTAGGAGATAATTTCCTTCTTCATATATAGAGGCAGGGTCACATCTGAGCATGCCTGCAAATACCAGACCCAGATTTCTGAGCTTTGTTAGAGGCACCTAAAGTAACCAGGAAAAACTAGAATACAGGGAAGAACAAAATTCCTCTAGGCAAGGTGCACTCAGCTGTGCACAACAGCTACCCTGACTTTCTGTGGGGGCAGGTGCACACAACCGAGCATTTGCTTCTCTTCTCTTTACTTCTCTTGACTTCTGTTACTTTTTCTGCTTTCTTACCCCTCTGGAGTCAGAAACAGATTCTTCTGCCTTACCAGTTAGAGGATATGTAGGCCTGCTCTCTCTATGCCTTTTATGAGACTCTCCTGCTCCTGTTCTAGGCATCCTCAAAATCTCAGCTGTGTGATCTTCACTCGAGTTTGTGGAGGGAAAAAATTGCAGGTGTCTTGACTCACCCAGTTCAAAAGCACAGCTAGTCACTCCCAGAAGAAGAGAAATCTCTGGGCACCATTTTTCCTGGGAGGAAACAACGGCAGCAAATAAAGAGCAGCAACATGGAGGCAAACCCACATCAGATTTGGGACCACCAGAAAGCTTAAGAGCTCAAAAGTCGATTCCTTTATTTCCATTTTTGAATCTGAAGAACGCTCCAGAGCCTTCTTCAGGCAGGCACCGCAGAGGGCTCAAATGCTTGCCCGTCACGTGGTAGCAGAGATCCCATTCCACTTGATAGAAGAATTAAGATATTGGACATACAGTCCTGACTATGCTGAACTCAAAGCACTTCGCTGTTCTGCAGCAGTGATTTATCTCTCTGCGTGGAGATAAAAAGTGTTGTGCTTGTGGTTTGAATAGCTGCTGCTCGGGAATGGGGGTGCTGCTGGCGTGAGCAAAAAAGTCTTACTCTGCCCAGAGCTGATGAACTGCGACCTGTGAAAGGAAAGTTGCTGGAGGAGTCATAGTTACCTGGATTGAAGAGCAAGCCCTCCCCTCACAAAAACATTCTAGATTCTGCAGGCTGGATTTCGCTGGGGTTTCCAAGTGTTAGTTTTTCTAGATAGTGTTAGATACTTCTAGTTGTTTTTTCCCTGAGGGCAGTTAGATGCTCTTGAAAATCAAACTTGCTATGTGTGACGATCAGAAATAGTGCTAGGAGGGTGGAATGCAGAGCCGCTAAACTGAAAGTCTTTAATTTGTTTACTCCTATTAATAAAATCATTGCTGAATTAAACTATTTGTATTGCTGCAGCTAATTTAGTTAACAAGACAAATTTGTTCAGCCTCATCAGTGCGGTGTTCAGAAGCCTGGTAGTGATTAATCATAGTTCATTTTTCCCCCCAACATTCATAAACATCCTCTGAGATTGTGTAGAATCAATATAACTATTTTTTTATTATTTTTTATTTCTTTTTCAGAGGTGCTATGAAACGAGTGGTGAAAGCAATGAACCGAGTGGACCAAAGAAAGCACGACAAGTTTGCCAACCAGTTTAACTACGCACTGAATTAAGTTGTTAATCTTCTTCACTCTTTGTTTTACTACAAGAGTGCAGCTGCACCAAACCTTTAACGTGGATCTTCATATTTACACTAAAATATTGGGCTAGGTCCATTTTTACTGGAGTAATTTTTTAAATTATTTTTGATGTTATATTATTTGATAATGAACATTAATTTTGGCAAAGATGTGGTGGTATATGGATTGCATTTAATAATTATTTAAAATGTACATGAAATAGAAAATGCTTTATAACTTGTACACGCTCTGGGTAAAATATTCAGGTTTTAGGGTTTTTCCTTCCTAAGGGACTCGTGTAATTTATACTTTGTTTGCCAACATGTGTGTTGTAATTTGCCTCCACTTTCAGGCCTTCATAGAAAAGATGCCTCAGAAACAACTAGTTTTCTGTTAGAGGTGGCAACGCACAGAGTATTTGCTGTTGCAGAAAATATGCCACATCAAGCAGTGCTCCCAGTGGTTGTCTAAAGGCTTCTTGTATACACACACAAAAAAATCCAAATCAACTGATGCCTTCAGGTAATGAGTGGAATAGAATTTGATTTCAGCAAACTGAAATCCAGGAACTAATTCAAACTTGGTAGCTGGAGCACCGGTGGAGATGACGGAGGTCATCCAGGTCTGCTTCTTGTCTTCCCGAGAGGGTATTGCAGCACCTTTCAGAACTACATCTGGAAACCACTTTGTGAAAGTTTGTAGAGATACTGGGATGTGCTGCAGTTTAACTGATACCAAAAAGTTCCAGGACGAAGCGAAAGCTGAACTTTTGCAAACCATTCAAGTGGGATACTGTACTAGTGAGCTGCCTGGCTTGAGTCAATTAGAATTACATCAGGCTCAGGCCTGAGAGTGCTTCTAGGGATCCAGATACAAACACAAGCATCTACATTCTTCTAACTCCAGGGAGTTAACATGCCTACGGAGATCAAGCAACTGAATCCATTGTGGTTTGTTGTTACTGCCTGGGGTGCTCACACAGAGCTCTCAAACCTGCTGTGCTGGCTGTAGTCATGTCTTAAGCAGAGTGAACAAAACATTGACCAGCTGTGTTCTTGCAAGGTTTCATACAGCTTTATGGGTGAAGGAAATCTAGAGTATCAAGGAGGATAAAGTGTTTTAAAAGTCAGCTTCAGAGTGAACTTCAGAAGTGTTCAGTAAAATACTGAATACAAATTGAAATGGATTCTCTTCAGCTAGCTTAGTAGCTCAGCTGTTGGAGGTGTTTCCTCATGCGTCAAGAGAATCTTAAGAATTGAAAAAAACTCCTCGGTGTAACTTCTGACTACCTCTGACAAAAGGTAGTTTACAGTTCTGCCAAATAGCTTTTGACTTGCACAAGTACTGCTTAGAAAGCAACTAATGCTGAGTCTTGGTAGTTTATCTTGCAAGAGCTCTGCAGTTTGGAAGACATATTCCTCTTCAAACAGGTATTTAGAAGATGTACTTCTAAACTAACAGAAATAAAATAATAAAGAGCCAGAATTTCAGAAGATATCTATTGCATTGGAAAGCAAAACTACTTCTGCCATCAGCATAGCTGACTTGTCAGTGAAGGCTTCAGGTGAAAATGTAGACAAGGACAATCCAAGCTCATCATCAGGACAATTGAATCAACTGCTAAACTGATTTCATTTTTTATTAAGGATAAAGCCACATTAAAAAAAAAAAAAGACATACGAAACCAACAACAGCAAAACCCCCACGTTTGAATGTAGTACAGATCTTTGGATACTGGGATGAAACTGATTTTGGAGATACTAACATTCAAAAGAGCCATAAAGGTCATTGTACCACTACTCCAGAGATTCTTGAGCCTTCACAGACTGAAGGTGTTCGTTTATAAGACATGTTTTCTCTCCTTCCTGTTAAGAGTGGGGAATTTCTATTGTACGGGGACACTTAAACCCGCTTTCTTATGGACATGAGGTGTCAGCACTAGAAAATCTCCGGCAAACAGTGGGTGCCATTTATCCCATGCAGTTCCTATTTTGGGCCTTTAGTAAAATAAAATTTTTTTAAAAAAAAAGAGCAGCCCAGAGACTGAGATTGGAAAGGGAAATGGTTAAAATCTGAGAGGAAAAGTGTGCTTAGTAAGGAATGCTCCATTATGATGCTACTTAGTCACATCATTTCTACATTGTCAGCTGAAACTTCCTATCTGGACCAATCCACCAGTTAAACCTGATCTTACCATGCTCTCCCCCTTTCTTTATTAAGAACACATATGCAGAAAGGTCTGCTTTTCTACAATGCCTCTTTTGTGCGGAAAGACAAGGCAAAATTCAGGTTTCCCAGCAAGTCACTTGGAGATGGCAAACTCAAATACAGGTGCACGCACTTTGGACCAGGTTAGTGATGGCCTTTTTTAAAGTTCTTCTAGCTGTCTTTTTTCCTGCTTCTGTTGCAGGAACTTCCCTTGTTGGGTAGGGAGTATACCCAGTTCGATATGAATTTTTTTTCTTCCTCTTCCTGCCTTGAAGCAAGAAAGACCATTGACTCCTCATAGGAGAATGTGTTAAACACGGTCTTTGTACGTACTGCCTGGCCTCTTAACCAGCATCTTCCCTGATGCAGTGTTTGAGAAACCCATGCTCTCCCTCCCATATTAATTATTGGGTCATTTAATCAAATTATTTCTCTACAAGGGCAGCTCAGCATATATGCACACAACCGGTCTTGAATTTTGCCATGTAAGCATTCTCATTAGGCCTGGCCAGACATAATTCAGAGGATGTGGGGAGCTTTGTCCTTTTACTGGGTTTATCTGTAGGTCTGCTGGAGGAAATTTTTTTCAAAGGCATCTATCAAAAAATCCAAAATCATCAAAATCAAAATTCAAAATAAATCAGTCTGCTTTTTAGATACATGTCTTCTACGCATCACTTTACTTAGAGCAGTTTACAAATTTGAGGTCTCTGAGCTCACCGGCTTTTTATACATCTTGGTTACTAAACTGTCAGTGTGACGTTTCTGCTAGAACTTTTATATTCCTGCCTCAGAGCTCCTGGAAAAAAAAATAAAATACAGGTATCATTCATGTAGTCTCTGCTGTGTGTTTTTGTCTTTATAACTCACTGAAATGCCTTTGCAGTTGTACTGTAATGTAATTCTATTTACTGGGGGTGCTGCGCATGATTTCCAGGTACCTGAACACCTTGGATGGTTTGGCCTTTAGAGTGTTGTTAAGGTGTGTAGTTGTAATACATGTTCAATATTCTGTAATTCTAAAAGGACACAGTAACTCTGAGCTCCAGTGAGCTGTGCTGATGCTTCTAAGTCATCCTGTTGTAACTAATGCTGTCTCAGTGTAAAACCAGAACCAAATGCAAAGATTTCTCCATGGTTATTCTTACCTGAGCTCACAGTTGCATCTCGGAATTAAAAGCCTGGAAGGAAAAGATGACAGCACGTGTGAATTTAGTGCTGTTTAAGGTTGGAGCGAAGGGTCTGGACTTCTGATACAAAGCAGTTAGTGACATAAATGAGCTCAGATGGAGTTTGTGAGCAGGGCTTCTGAATAAAAACGATCTTTCAGCACATCCTCTCTGAAATTACTGAGATGGGGTGGTGGGGACATACTCACCTTTTGCATGGTACCTTGCCATTTTTGTTTTCTCTAAACTTACCTGAGGCTTGGCTTTAGCAATCCAGGTTTGGATGAAGATTTCTGTTAGAAAACTGTAACCCTTAAAAGCTCTTAGAAATTATGTTTAAAAGATTTATTTGGAGGTTTGGTGGGCTTTTTATTGGAAGTGAGAGAAAGACGCAGGATTTGTAAGCAGTTCTGCATGGACAGTGTATCATGCCATGTAAACCAGTTTGCAGATTGGGGAGGGCATCAGTGAGTTCAAAGTGGACATTACTGAAAAAAAAAATCATTCTCTTGTGGAAAACAACAAAAAATAAGTAAATCTGTTCCACTTAAACTGGCCATGGAAATGGACAATAAGGATGTGCCTAATTCCAAGGAGCCACTATGCAGAATCAAGAAGAAATGACGTAAATGTCTCTCTGTAGGCTGTGCGTCAGAAAAGGTAAGGGCATCTGAATGTTGCAGCAGCTCTTCAGTGATGAAAATTGGTCGTTTAAAGCCATGCCTTTTGCCATGATACTACCGCATGGGAAAAGTTCGTGTCTTTACAGAATAGCCTGACCAGCAAGTAGGTGTAGAAAGGGAGCTTCTGCAAACTGGCCCAGGAAAGGTCTTGGGTGCCTGAGTCCAAAACTGCAGCCCAAGAAATGCTGAAGTTCCCTGGGCCCCTAAGGCTGTGTACGTGCCAAGACCTGCACTGGCCTCCCCACCTAGACCAGAATTCTTGTTTAAGCCTGATTAGATCCAGGGAGATGTGTTTTCACACCTTGCCTAACACCCACCAAATGCATACTTTCAACGAAATTGCTGTTTTTAAACAGGCAGTGGCAATGGTGCTGCTCTTAACAGCTATAATGCTGGAGCACACATGCAAGCGAGGTGGAGTTCCAGCCTAAGAGGTGACGGCCCACTGTCCTGCCTCAGGAGATGGCCCACGCTACAGGTCACCTAAATGCAAGCAAGGTGGAAGGAGACAGTTCACATCACTTGTTCTCCTATGGGAACTGAAACTGAACCACAGTGGGACTAAAAACTTCATGTGCAAGACTTAGACAGTAAAAAAGAACCTTCCAGATAACTGTCCCCTGACTGGGGCAAGGGAGAGCTGGATCCTGATCCTCATTCCCTAGACACCTACCAAAGAACCAGCCCTTAGGAGCTCTTGGACACTAAAGCCTGAGAGAAGGGTGTTATTCTGATAACTACTGGAGAGCGATCTCTTCGTGTCTGTTTTGGGATGCACTGGTACAGCTACATTTAAATAAAACCAAAGCAATTAACAATACCCTGCTCCTGGGTGAAAAATGACACTTGATTTTGCAGCTGGAAAGATAAAAAAAGAGTTTTGCCCCAAAGGGGTTCCCAAAGAAAAGTCCACTGGGAGTACAGAGCAAACTCA